AGCCCGGCTCGGGGACCAGGAAGGACTCTGCAGCTGGAGAAGGACCCACCCGCAGCCTCGGCAGCCTCCTGCCTCGCTGGTTTTTTCCTGGAATACAGATCCGACCTCGGCAACAAGATGTGCAAGGGACTCGCTGCGCTGCCAGCCACTTGCTTAAAAAGGTACTGTTTATTTCTGAGCATCTGTCAGCGGGCTCGTCAGTCCGGAGGGAACGCTGGTGTATCGCGCTTTGTGCCTGCAGCAGAAGTGGCGGATTCGGCTCTGATTCTTTTGTCAGATTAGATTGCTTATAGGCTTGTTGTTGTTAGTCAGAAGCAGAATTGCATAAAGGTTTTGTACGGAGCTGTGGGAACTCTAAACCCATCCTTCCCATCAGCAAAACATGCGGCTCATAGCATTGCTGTGTTTTGATATTTCTGTCGTCTGCTTCTGCCCCAAGCTTTGCACTCCTTTTCTCCTTTGAATCCTCTTTCTCTGGTGAATTTTCTTTTCTTGATTTTTTTGAGGGGGAAGCAAGGCAGATGGGATATAAAAAAAATTGAGGGTCATTCCCCAAAACACATCCCAAATGCAGAAGCCCACCCCTGGCAGGACCAGAGACCCGTGTGCCAGCAGGCAGGGCAGGGATGTGGGCCAGCCCCGGGCACCGCGGAGCTGGATGCGGCACCAGCTGGTGCGGGGTCAGCCTGTACCCCTGGGTGTGTGATGATGGAGAGGGGCTGGGTCAGGCTGTACCCCTGGTGCCCAGCGCTATGGGGCTGGTGTGGGGCTGGCTGTACCCCGTTGTACGGTGCAGGTCAGGGTGGGCTGAGCTGTACCCCTACCGTGGGCGCAGGGTCTGGCTGCATCCTGGTGTGCGGTACTGCCCAGCATCCCAGTGCTGGCAGAGCGGTGCCTGTCCCTCCCCAGGCTCAACCTTGGCAGGATGGCCTGCCACAGAGCCCAGTGCAAGGGGGTCTCTGTGCCTGCAAGGTGGCCACAAGCCCTCCTGGAGGGACATTGCTCCCTTCCAGGTGCAATGGGGCCTGGGGAACCCCAGCAGGGTGGGCCAGGTCCCCAGAATGGCACTGGCCCCAAGAAACTCCCTGCTTATCCACCCATGCAGCCTTGCAGGGGTCTCTGATGGCGCAGCGCTGCCCTTCTGGCTGCTCGTGCCCCCAGGAGCTCCTGAGGCTGCTTCCCAAGGGCTGTGCAATGGGAAGGCACAAACTGAGGTTCAGCCTGCTCCCATCTGGGAGACACAGCTCCCCCCTCAAGGTGGATTTGGAAATGAGTGCTGAAAATGTGAGGAAAAAATATTGACGCCCTCCCCCCCTGAGTTTGCAGGAACCTTTGGCAGGGGAAAAAAAAAAACCCAATTTGAAAAAAATGCAAAGAAAAAAAGTCCACATCTTTAACCATCTCTGTCCAGGATTCCAAAGAAAATCCCTCTCCCCCAGAAAGCTGCAGGACTCACTGCAAGCAGCAGTGGCTTGTGTGCTCCTACTGCCGCCTTCCTGTAGAGCACAGTGGTCTCCTGGGGACAGGGAGCGTGGCAGCACCAGGCAGCTGGGTCTGGCAGCGCGGGGTACCTGGGGGCTGCCTCGGCAGCGCCTGGATGCTGGCCCTGGTCACACACACGCTGCTCTAAAGAAGCCATGAGTTTCCTTCACTCTCACCCTGGTGCTGGAGCTGTTAAGGGAACATTTCTGAGCACAAGCAGGCAGCGAGGGAGGATGTGGCGGGGCTGCTGACGGGGGGCTATGGCTGGAGCAAAGCACAGCGCTGGGAGGCTGAGCAGCTGCCGGAGCTCAGCCCTGCGGCACAACCTCTTGCTCTTTCCCAAACTCTGATCTGAGGAGCAGGAGAAGAATTTCCTGCTTACGTTGTCATTGCACCCTGCGGCAGGCCAGGGTGCACCCTGAGCGAGCAGGACTGATTTACCCTCCCCCTCCTTCTCAAACTGGAAGGAAATCCAGAGCGATGCTGAGGCCAATGCCAGCTGCACATCTGGATGCTGGTGTCAGGCAGCGGTTGTCCTGAGCATGCTGGAAAGCAGAACAAAATTAAGCGTGCATCCTTGTAGGAGTGTGCCATGGAGTAGCGGATTAGCTTGCAGTCAGCACAGGGTGGTTGCAGTGAGGGTCCTGGCTTATCCCCGATCTCGCCCCAAGTCCTGCTCCCAGCCCGTGGCTTCCTCCCGTCCCTCTGTGCCATGAGCGGCGGTGGGGTGGCGTGGCACGTCCCCCTGGTGCTGCAGCTGCGTGGGAAGGTGTGAGATGGCCAGGGCTGTTGGAAAGGATTAGCAAGGGTGTAAGAAGCAGGCACTGGGAGCTGGGTGAATCTGTTTAGGGAGAGGTGACACATTTACAGCACGCTGATGCCTTTCTATCACAAAATTTTAACTATAAACAGACTGTGGGAAAACAGCAGCTTCTCGCCCTTCGCCAGCCCTGCCTCCAGGCTGATGACCTTCTCAGCAAGAAAATGGTGCTGTTGGATGTGAAAAATGATTCATTTGGCTTTGTTGTGTTTGTACAGCAACAGAAACGTGCATTATGTGAGAAGTGGAAAGTCAGCGCTGAAGTCACCAGCAGTGATCGGCATTCGTGTCACTGGGTGATGCTGAAGGAGCTCGCTGCGGGGGGGCGGCTGCAGAGGGAGTGGTAACACGTTATCTTCATCTCCTCGAATTGTTTCTTTCAGTGCCAAAGACATGAAGCACCGTCTGGGCTTCTTGCTGCAGAAGTCAGAGTCCTGTGACTACAGCTCTTCCCAGGGCAAGAAGGAGAAAATATCTGCAAGCCAGAGGTAAAAGCAGATGCTACCGTGCCGTTAGGGCCGGGCTGGCTGCAACATGTCGTTTACCCCCTCACTGACCTGACCTTCATCAGCATTTCTGCTGCTGCTTCCCAGTGCCTGCTGCCCACCCCTGTTCTGGAGTCTGGTGTGGCAATAGTCCTCAGGCACTGGCAGCCCCTTTCCATGAAGAGGGTTGAGCTAGGGGTCCCTTCTGCCAACGCTTCTGTGATTCCATGTGCATGTGCGCGTGGAAGGGCTTCTGCAGCCCTCCTGTGGAGGGGAATAACGCCATCACGAGACCCAGTGCAACTTGACACGTTGCAGAATCAGTATTACTGTCTGTCTAAGCTGGATTTGTGCAGTGGTCCACACAGAGCTATTGGCACAGCAAACAGAGCGCAGCCTGGCAAGGCATCACTGCTCTCACTGAGGGGCGAGCAGATGGTGGCTTTTCCAAGGAGGTCTCCAAAGACTAAGGTGTACTTCTGGGAGAGGTGAGCCCTAGGATGTTCTGGTAGGGTTGGGGGAATGAATGCAGGATGGGTTCCCATGTTGCTCTCCTCCACAGAGCTGCCATTCCCTGACAGGTTAAAGAAATCAGCCCTTTGGAGTTCACTGACAGACCTGTGAGAGCAGTCCCAGGTCTGCACCCCATCCAGAGATGCAGCCAGTCACAAAATAAACACAAAGTCCCCAGCAATTTTTCCAGGAAAATTCCTTTCCTTTCCAGCTGATGATGGGGATTGCAAACCAGAATTTTTGTAGATCAGATCTGGGATCCCAAGGGGTCTCTGTAAAGCCAGCAGACGTTTCCTTCTTGGTCTCTCATGCATGCACTTACAACAGGCTGATTTTCTAACGGTGACGAGCAAAAAACTGAATTTGTCCTTTCTGTACTCCCCTTAAATCTTCCCTGTGTTTCTCCCGTTGTCTCCTTTCAGGGTGAGCCCAGAGGAGGTCAGGAAGTGGGCAGTCTCCTTGGAAAACCTGATCCATCACGACAGTAAGTGAGGAGGGCCCTTCTGCTGGGGATGCTGAGGGTGCTGCGGGCAAAGTGGGGGTGCTGAGCAGCGCTGGGAGGGGCACGGGATGTCACCCTGTGTCCCTTAGCAGCACACTGGCCTTTGGGAGGGGCGGTGGAGGGTGCTCCTGGTCACATCTGAGGAACAATCCCAATGCATCGCGAGTGGGGCTGTGACCCACTGCTGAGCTGTCCCTTTGGGAAGGAAGGCAGCTGGTCTAGCCATGTGCAAGAGACCGCAGCACACTGTTAACAGTGGGTTAAACAAGAACCAGAAGGTGGAGAAACTGTTTGCAGCGGGGCCCATGGGAGACTTCATGTTCCCGTGGGTTCCAGTCTCCGCTGATGTCCTTGGTGCTTGTTCACGCTGTTCCCGTGACTCCGCAGCGTGTTGGCTGTCTCCTGGGTGCCTTCTGGGAACACACGGGTTGCTTGTGTTCTGGCTGAGCCACTGAAGGTTGCAGTGGGGGAGCAGGCAGCTGGGGGGACCCCTGTGTGACAACCCCGTGGGGTCTGTGTTCCACCTCCCTCGGTGTGCACAGGAGGCTGCTGTCGGGGCGGGCAGCTGTCCCCAGGGAGCTGCTCACTCAGTTTTGGGGGGAAGAATGCAGAATTGCAGTTTGCTGGAGTTTGTGAGTGTGGCTGTCCAGGAACCAACACTCCTACCTGATCCGATTTTTCTCTAAACAATCTATAGGAGGACTGGCTGCTTTCCGTGCTTTTCTTAAATCTGAGTACAGCGAGGAAAACATCGAGTTCTGGGTCAGCTGTGAGGACTACAAGAAAACCAAGTCACCAGCCAAGCTCAGCCCCAAGGCTAGAAAAATCTACAATGAGTTCATCTCGGTGCAGGCAACAAGAGAGGTATGTACACAGAGCATTTATTGAGCAAAGGTATCGCCCTAAATCCTGACCACACAGGCCAGCAGCACAGGGAAGCGGAGGTCCGGCAGTTTCACAAGAGCTGAAGGGTGCCGCTTCTCTGGCAGTTAGCAAGCAAATAGTGTCGTTTTTATTGCTTTCACGTGAAACTTGGATAGAGAGAAGGTGGGTTTAGTTACAACCACCTGGCCATCCCACATGCACCCTCAAATGGGAGAAGCGCTAGAGGACTGTGATTCCCAGCTGCTCCCATGCAGTTGTTCAAGTTTCCCAGCTGGTTGCATCCTGGAGGAATATGTGTCAGTGTCCCCCAGCAGTTCGTCTGGCAGCAGAGATGTGTTGCTATCCAGCCGCACAGATTCTGCCATGGTTACAGGGTGTCTAACAGCCATTCCAGAGCACTGCCCATCAGGGACAGCTTAAACACGCTCGGTGAAGAGAGGCTTGGGTTTTTCTTTACCTAAGCTAGCCACTTGTGGGACAGATTCTCCTGATGCTGTGCCTTTGGCCCACAGGTGAACCTGGATTCGTGCACACGGGAGAAGACAAGCCACAATATGCTGGAGCCTACGCTGTCCTGCTTTGATGAGGCTCAGAGAAAAATATTCACCCTCATGGAAAAGGATTCTTACCGCCGTTTCCTCAAGTCCCCCTACTACCTGGACTTGGTCAGCCCACCTGGTGCCGGCTGTGGGCCCGAAAACTGCAAAAGGAGCCACGCTCACACCTTAGACTGCAACTCTAATGTCATCTCTCAGTGTGCCTGAACCTGCAGCAGGGCGGGAGCGCACTGGGCTCTCGCGAGAATATACGGCAGCAAAAGCATTCATTGGCATGAAGCAACAGAGCTGTCTCCAATAGCTGTCCAGTGTCCCGGTTGTGTCCCATGTCACGCAACAGCCAGCATTTGTAACCCACGCCAGGCTCAGTGTGTGCAGCAAACCCTCCTCTGACTCCATCGCTGCGGGAGCCCCGGGGTCTGTCTCTGACAGGGAAGCTGGGTGCAGTCCTTGTGTCCCCGCTGTGTTTCTGGCGAGCCTGGGAGGGTGATGGGGGGGTGCGTGCTCAGCCCCAGCACTGCCCAGCAAGGGACCGGACCCGCAGAGCTGCAGTGTGACCCCTGGCAAGGAGCAGGGGAAGAGGGGGCCAAGGGAAGTGATGGGGATGGTGATGTCCCCTTTTCTACTCAGCAAAAGCTGAGATGACAAGGACCTGCTAGGGTCCTTAGCTGTTCATACAG